CTTCCAACCAGTTTGCGCCGCATCCGCGAGCTTCCAGCACCCTTCCACTTTTTTGGGAACCAAGGGGGATGTTTGGACACGGGGAGAAAGCCGACAAGTTGGGACGTGTTGGGACCGAGGCCAGGGGTCCCGACAAATTTCCCTTTTTTGGTGGTTTAAAACATCACCTTCTTGGCGAGAGGTGAGTGTCCCTTGGTGATGTTTTAAGGGAGAAAAAAAAGGGATCCCTGCCGGCGCTGGGATTTGGTTTTCCCTTGAAATACCAAGAAACAGATCCACTAATCTGGTCTTACCCTGAAGAGGCCAGAATCTCATACTAAGAGATAAACTCTTAACGGTTCTGACCGTTTTATTTATGGCTCTCACATCACCAATCGTGGGACCACGGGGCCCCGTCCAGCGAGAGCCGAGCCCTGACAGCTCTCCGAGGCGCTCTTCGCGGCCAAGGTGTTGCGGCGCCTGGGGGGAGATCAGGAGCCATGGGCGCGGAGGGGACCCGCAGATGGCCGCGGTTGGTTCCCGTTTTTAGTTCCACCAATCAAGGGATGATTCTGGGCACTCGTTTGGAGTGTTTTTTGGGGTGTTGAGGAGCCGAGGTTTGGAAGAGTTCGTTTTTGCTAAGGAACAGTCAAAGTGCTGATGGCAACATCACTTCGTTTATCACACTCAGGCTTCCAGTTGCAGGTAACCCGAAGTAAAAACCCCTTCCCTGCTCATTCCTTGGGTTTGGACCACTTTAGCGATATATAAACAACCTACGGGTCCAACCGAAAGAGAAGAAAAAGAGCCCCAGCATGTGACCACAGCACAGGAGCTGTGCCGGCTGGCCGGCCTGCGGCTTCGCTTGAAAGGAGGCGCATTCGCGCCCTTTTTCGTTGAGGAATCGGCTGGCGGGGGCGGGGGAGGGGCGGAAGCCGAAAACGAGCGGCCTTTCTTTCGTCCCCCAGCTAGGTGCCCTTTTACAGTTTCTTTTTTTGGGGGAGGGTTCCCCTAAGTAGACTACCGAAGAAAAGTTGGTACCCTTATTCTGACCTCTCTACTGGAGGACCTAGCCCTCTTTGGTGGTGAGTTTTCTAAGCGGAGTACCAATGTTTCGTTTTTCGTGGGGCAGAACAACTTGTCTTGTGAGTTCGTGATTTTGTGGTGGAGAGGAAATGGTTTAAACAAATATAAACCCAGAGAGCGTCTTTGTGTTTTGCGGTTGTCTTCTGTAGGTTTTTCAGACTTTGGATCCAGTAGGAGTTCTGCATTTCCTGTGTGTACGGGGCCTTGGCTTCGGGCAAGTGAAGAAAGCACAAGCTCACAAAGGGCTTTCGTTTCTTGCTCGAGCCCGCGGAACTTGGGGACTTGGTTGACTCAAGAGACTTGCCGTCTGACAAGCAATCCCCATGTCAGAACGCTGGTCAAAAGGTAAGCCTTGCATAGATGCTGGGCTTCTCCCTCCCGTAAGTATAGTAGTTGGAGGGGGGTACCGCCTGTTCCTGCCCCCGAGATGTTTATATCAACTATCAGGAGACATATCATGGCCTCCCCTACCCAAAATGTTTCTGAGAACCCCGAAAAGGTTCTAAGTCAGGGAGAAACCAGGGATGCGGGAGGATGTCCCCTAATTGCGCCTTGACTAAGTTTGATACGGGAAATGGCGCCAAGGGAATCCCCCCATATCCCCGTATCCCCGCTTGTTCGTTTGTCCAACTAAGAACCCTTGGGGGCGGGAATGGGTCTCAGGCTTTCTGCCCTTTCGTGGTTGTCTTTGGGAACCCTCCCTTTAATCAATTGACGGGAACCCCCAAAAAGGAGCCGGACAACTTGGTGGTTCCCAGCCGTTCCCTTAGCTTTTTAGTTTTTTTTGTGTTTGGTGATGTTCCATTCAACCCACTAAAGGTTTGGCCACTTTCAGCGGATCTGAAAACGGACAGCCCAGCAAACCTGCAAAAAGAAGCCCCAGAAGTCCCAACAGAAGCCCCAAACCTAGGAAGCCCCATCAGAAGTAACCCCCAAAAAGATCCCTTAACCTTTTAACTATTTGGTGGTTGGATTTCCATGTAACCCAAAAAAGATGAGTGGAATTTTTCCTTGGCTTTCCGGTTTCACCCGAAAAAACCCGCCGCCCCCAAAGCGGGTGCCTCGCAGCCGAAGGCCTGGACTGGTTCCCCCTGGACGGCGCGCGGCTGCCGCGCCTCAGCGACGACCTGCCGGACCCCTTCGCCGCCTCGGCGAGAAGAATCGGCGAGCGAAACCCGCGAGGAGCCAAAGGTCCCCCGGGGTACCTTCCCCATGCCTTCGGAAAATCAATCCAAAAGGCTCAGGTAGAAGGTCAGTTTCCTTACTTCTAGGGGAACCTTCCATTTCTATTCTTTCCAGGGATCCGAATCTTTCAAGAAAACCTCCGGAAACCCAGGGAAAGCGACCGGTTTCGGGAAAGAACGATGGTTGAAAAGAATGGACTTGGAATCAACCCCAGAAAAGGGAAGGTCAACCCAGTTGCCCCAGAAAAGGATGCCGATTCTTTTTTCCCCACGTAATTCCACTGGGCATCTTAGTCGAAGCTTAGGCTTTTATATAGCCACTTGCTCAAAACCTGGGTAGATGAAGGTTGGCAAGGGCTTCATACTGTGGATGAATCAACATCCGGGTAGATAAACCATGGAGGTAGGTTTTGGTTATACCATTGTCTAGGTGTCAAAGCCTAGGTGTTGATACCGTGGATGGTTGCGAAATCCATTTCGCACCACCTAAGAAACCCTGGAATGATGATTCCCCTGTAAATACCAGCAAACAATAGTTTCGCCTGGTTTCAAAGTGGTGCAGGATTTCGTCCGTCCACAGTATGAGCCACAATCAAAACCCGGGTAGATGAAGGCTGGCAAGGGGCAGTCCCAGCCCTAGAATTGGGTAGACCGTTGCAATAGCAGGTTTCATTACTCAAAAAACCACGGTGGTCTTTTTACTAAACCGAGGTACGGGTGTTGGTTATACCCTTGTTTACCTAAGCTTCATTTAGTTATATAGGTGGCATTTTCAGGTCGGGGGTTTGGAGGTCATATGCCACTTTCTTGAGGGGTATATTTGCTGCCTTGCAAGCTTGGATTGGTAAGCCTTGATACCTCCAAAACCCAAACCTCAAAATGCCCTTGACCTTGGGGAAGACTAGTACAGACCAAAACTGGAGGTGTGTGTGTGAGTGTGTGTGTGAGTGTCTTTTTTGCGGCGGCTGTACAATGCCGTCTGTCAATTTGTTGAGTGAGGTGATTTGGGCACGAGCTCACTCATGAAGGTCGTTTATTTGGGGGATCCGCGTCTTATTTCAGTGTTTGGACATATTGGGGAATGTGCGACTGGCCGGACAGCAATCTACTTTCACAAATGTTTCACAGCCACGTCTAAGGCTTGGTAAAGTGCTGCCACGATTCCAACACATGTTGGTTTATTCATCCCCATTACTTACCCGCATCAGGGGAATTGCGTGAGCTGATGCAATTGGTTTGACTTTTATGATTAACTTCAGGGAATGAGGGAATGATCCTGATTTACAATTTCTTGTGGTTTCCTGTAAGATAAATCCCTGGGCTCATTCCCGCATTCCCTACTGAGCACCAGGATCGATCGCGAACGATTCGCGGGACCATTGAGGTGTACCCTCTCGGCCAAGGTACCTTGCGCGTTTCAATGCATCGAGCACAAGGAGAAGAAGAAGATGTTCCAATGGCGCCTGGATGTGGGAGTTCGGGCAAAACAATCACTCCCCTGCAGATTCACATGGAAGGCAAAGCGCCCACAAAAAAAATGCTTGTCCGGGACCCTTTTTGGGTTCCATGTGAATCTGTCGCGGGGCAGAATGGGGTTGTGGGGTAGTTGAAAACCAAATCAAGTAATGATCACAAGAGAGTCCATGGTCGTTTGTAGTTTTTCAGCCCCTTGCATTGTCCTGGTCATCCTGACTCGCTCAGCCGACTGTTGTGACGCCAGGAAAACGTGGCGACGCCTACTCGTTGGTGGTTTGGTGGTTTGGTGCGTTTGAGTCAGGGCAGATGTGACGGTCAAGCAAAGACCGTCCGCTGCTTGTGCGCCGGCCGTTGGTAGTTGGGGTGGGTTGCGTCGAAGGCCACGGGCATATTTTTTGCATTTGGTTTCACCAGCAGCAGGGTCCCCCTTGTTGACCAATGAGTGGTGACCTGTGTTCTCCCAATCCCCGGGAAACCAACCTTCACACTTATCCGCTGAAAAGCGTACTCTTCCCTTTGCCAAACAGTAGCTAGCCATAAGTGTCCTTGTCAGGTCAGTTTGGCTAGACTTTGTGGGTTCCACTGGTTAGTCTGGTTTTATGCCCCATCGATTTTCAAGAAGGTCACCTATGCTATACGGTCAGTACATATGCGTAGATCATACTCCAAATATCTCCAATACTGTTTTCCGCTGGCAAAACCTGAGGTACTCTGGATGGACAGAATCCTGCAGCTGGTGGTTGTCTATCCCAGTATTCACAAGGTTTGATCCGTAGTCCTGGGCTTTAACCCTCACTGAATCTGTGCTGTAACCATGTGGGGCCGACCAACGTTGCGAGGTTCCTCAACGTGTGCAGCGCGGCCGGTGTCTTGGCCAGCTCGGCCAAGCCCGATGCGGCATCCTTCGATAAGGCAGTGCGAATGTGTCAAAGCCGCGGAGGATTCAGCAAGCCATCAACTAAATAAGTAGGGGGGTTACCAAAAATGCTGTGGCTGCCATCGGATTAGATCTTCAACATCCGGGTTTCCCGCGACTGCAAGATGAAACACTGATCGGGCAGGTTGAGTAACCCCCACCATCAATGAGGTTGTCCATTTCTTCTGGGACATGCGCGGGGCTGCAAATGCCAACAAACAATGGTTTCAACCACAGTTTCAAAGTGGTGCGAAATGGATTTCGCAACCATCCACAGCCCAGCACTTCCAGAGCCCCCCACCCCATCCACCCCCCCCACGCGCCATCCCTCCACCCCCCTCCACCCCATCCCTCCACCACCGCCCCATCCCTCCGTTTTTTGTTCCCGCAGGCGGTGAAACAGGCCTCGGCTGGGCTTTTCCCGCGGGCGGGGGCGGTGGTGGCGTGCGTGGCCTCAAGAGTGCTGATGAACCGCCAGGCCTGGGACCCCGAGTGCCACGTTGGTGTGGGTGGGTGGCTGGCGTTCAGGTGCCTTAGTTGGCGGTTTGGATTGTTTTTTTGGTTTTTTGACCTAGGTTGGTTTGGATTGGTTTGGAGATTTTGAACCCCAGTACCTTTTGAAAAATGAAGAATGTACACCCTAAGGTCCAAAAAACCAAACCACCAACTGGGGGTAAGGAGAGTCAGCTTCCCTCGAATTGGTGGATTGGAGCCGAATCGGTGGTTTGGTGGTTAAGGGGGAATTTCCCATTTACCCTTTGCAAGAAGGGGTTTCAAATCCAAATCCAAACCACTTGGAGGGAAGCTGAAGTGGGTCTGGAGTGGTCAATGAAACATTACCAGTCAGACTTAACCGACTTTTTTTATGCCCTGAACCACTGCTGGTGTACTAGGTCTGTGAGTTGTTTTGCGAGTACCCTGTTCAACCTTTTGCCTTTTTGGGGTTCCTTTATTTTGCCTTCAACCAGCAAACTGTTTACCTGCTTTTCAGTGGACCATGTCTGGCCACCCTATGGTGTGTGTGCGGAGGTGGGAGGACTCAGCTCCATCCCAGTGCCATCTCACAATGCTCCGCGCATCGTTTTCCCCGATCCACGGTGTCCTCGTATCCTCGCGCACTCCAAGGCAGCCATTGAGGCCGAGTTGCTTGCAGCATTTGTCTGGTCAAACTGCGATTTGGCCCAGGCATCGCAGGTCAGTCATCATGAGTCCCTTTCAGAGGTGTAGACCTACAAGTCAAGCGCACTTGGGGGGCTTTAGGGCGTAATTTGCGGTGAAATCTGTACATAGCTCGTGGTCTACAGGCCATGCTACGACCCATCGTCATGCGGAGAGCACACAGTATCACTTTTTGCCAGGGATCCAAGTCCGGTCAACGTTCGGTACTGTCAGAGACGTCTTGGCCTAAAATGTTAAAGAGTTGCATCTTGGGTTGAGGGTTGAAGTCAGGGGAGAAATGATCGGCGCTATGGGTCAACATAACATGACCCGTGAGCCGGTTTGATCCCAAGGGGCCAGGCGAAACCGTCCATAGTGGCGCTGCAATTCTCAGGTACCACCGGCACCGCTCACGCCGTTGGAGCCCTCCCTTTGACTTCACACGTGCCCTCCCTCCAACAATCATGGAAGTGGAAAGGAGGGTTCCGGAAGGTTTCCACCTCCCTCCTGTCAGCTTCCATGATTGCTTAGAGCTGCGCTGTTTAGTTGAAGACCACTTTCATCCCCGTGAAGTTTGATCGTCAATGTCATTCCTTCAATTTTCACGCGGGCTTCGGCCCAACTGCCACAGTTTCCGCCTGAGAACCAAATGCTGGCCTTCACTGTTACAGGGAGGGTACTTTGGCGCATTTTGCATGGATGTTAGGACTTTAACTTTGTGCCAACTAATGGGTTTACGGTATTAAACCACTAAAAGTTATTCAGGGAGCAGAAAGCAGCCGAGTGTTGGTTGAAATAGTTGGGATGTTCCGAATTGGACCCCAAAAATCGTAAAGCCTGCTCCCAGACCACCAAACATACCAAACCACCAATCCAAGCCACCAACTAGAAAGCAACCGAGTAAAAAACAAAAAAAATCTCCGCGAGGTGGCGTCCCAGGAGGGCCTCTCCGAGTTGGGCACCTGGTTGGAGCAGCGCCTGGAGGCCGCGAACGCTGTGCGGAAGAGGCGCTGGCCGTTGCCGTTTCTTTTTTGGTTGGGGGGGGTTCGCCCAATAAAATATTTTCGTCCAGAAGAAAGTTGGTAACTTATATTCTAACCTCTCTACTCAAGAACCAGTATGAGACGTTTCAAAAGGGCTTCGGCTTTGGCTTCCCTTTCTTTGGCCCTCAGAAAGGAAACCCTACCCAAACTGTTTTGTTTACTTGGTTTCAAGTTGGGTGGACCTGAGGTTCCTTTGTTTCCCCTTTTGGGATGTCAAGTGGCAGAACAGGTGGAGTTCAACCGTAAATTACGTCTTCGGGGGAACTCCAGTGACCCTGTCTATCCCAATATTCTTCACCCAGAAGGTCCATTGCTTTCTTGCAAGTGAGCGGGCACTGCGATCTCCAGCACGATTGTATATTTTAGGGTAGACCAAACATGAACCAAAATCAGAGAATAGCATCTCCTGTGTACCCCGATATGTGGGCCAAGTTTCACTTGCTTTACCATGAAAACAAAAACAGACCTGTTCAAACAACCTCCGGTCGAAGAGGGACCAGGGGTTGGTTGTAACAAAGTTTGGCCCAACCCTGGTTCAGCGGTCGAGGTGCCGACCGAGTGAAGGGGAGATTGCTAATGAACCGGATGAATAGCCCCCTGATGGACTTGTGGTTGGGGCGACCTGTTGATGAACGCTTTCACTTTGGGTGATCAGGGTTTGGTGCCCCCACCCATCCCGGAACCAGGTGGTTGGTTGGTTGGATGGTTGGTCGGTTGGTCGGCTGGGCGGCCACATCCACAGCATCCTCGGTAAATTGGTGTCAGGGCTGCGCATTGGCCGCGATTTGGACGGTCAAAACCCAAATCGTACCCCCAGTGAACATCCGATTCAATCCAACCACTAAAATAGGTTCTAAAATGGGTGGTGAATTCACCCAATCCCCAAAATGGGATCCCATGAGTTTTGACCACCACAGCCATTTGGTTGCGAGTTGCTCGGGTTCAACCAGCCGATGAAACAAAAATGCGGCCAACCGAATCTCTGGCCAACCAGGCGGCTGCCCTGACCGAACCTCCCTAGTCATTGTCCGTAACCATGGGTGTTCAAGGGGCTGCGTAAACTGCAGAGAGCGGTTTAGTTCGCAGTCGGCTAACAGTCAGAAGTGTCCTTTTGTAGGCTAATTTAGTTAGCTAGTGATAGATGGGCTCCACTGGTTTAGTTTGGTTGCATGCTCCATTTACCAGGGTCATCAGCGTAAACAAGGGCTTCAACCATGGTTTCCAAGTGGTGCGAAATGGATTTCGTCCATCCGCAGTAGGGGAATTTTCTGACCTGGTTCTCTGAACCATGGTATTAGCTTAAAACAGGTTTCACAACGCCCATTGTTGAAACCGCCTCCGTTTGCGTATGAGTCAAACATTGGCCACCGAATGTATTGGTTTCCTATGCTTCCCCTCGCCTTCTGGTTGTTTCAATCGGCCCTTGGATGGCCTGAATCGATTCAATCGCAGTTTCACAGAATCGAGCGGACGCCCCAGTTTGTTGTGTCCTATGGGTGTTCGCTCGCACCCCCGAAAGGGTGGTTGAATGAAACCACCCATGCCTTGATCTTGAGCACACCTCCCATTTGCACTAGTCATCCCTACATAAAGGGAATGTCTGACTACTTCTCCAGAATTAGTTCCTTTTTTCTTTTATTTTTTGGCTTTTTTGGGGTTTCCTTTGTTTTCCAGTACCAGGCAAAAAGATACTTTTTTGCTGGGGTCCTAATTCCAGCCAAGACTAGTGGTTGAGGCGCCATCTTGGGTCGCCAGGGCCAAAGTGCTCCTCATGCAGCGCATGTGCTCGAGCCTTTTGCCGCACCTTGAGGACCTGGAAAAAGATCCAAGTGGGCGGTTCTTTTGTTTGGGGTTTCCACAAGTATGCCACTGGTTACTTCGAAGGGACACTCATGGGGCGGTGTTTTTTTTTTTTTTTCACACACATGGAATGGGGCGGTGTTTTTTTTTTCACACACATGGGATTTAGTCGTTTTTTTTTCCCCATCTAGCCCAACTAGTTGGGCTTGTTTCTCTAGTGACCTGGTTTCCATCTATCCCACAAGTTGAACTTTTCGCCGGGGGTCTGAGCACAGCCCAGGCTTGTCTAGAAGGACACCAAACGGTGAAGGGTCATTTTGCGTCCCGACCCTTTATTCCGTATCCAGTCTGAGCTTTACTGATGTTTTTACACAGCCTTCCCAATGAACCATTCGATGGATGTGTTTTCCCCAAGACTTTGGAGTTTCAAGGCATAGGTGAAGGTGTCCTTTGTTTCTACCTACCTTCAAAAGCACTGAACCCTGGCCCATTGTACTGATTTAGGACCCTTATATTCCCCCGAAACCGTCGGGCAAAGCGACCAGTCCGGTGGCACATCGCAGGAGCTCGGCGAGGAAGGTGAGGACGCCCCACCCAGGACTGTGGTCAGCGAGTCGACCGGATTGATCTGAGCTTTTGCTTCTAGGATTCTAGGTCTAGGTACCCTTTTACCATCGTTTACCCCTTTTTTGGTTGGGAGGGTTCCGAACCCTACACAAATAGACTACAGAAAAAACAGTTGGTACTCTTATTCTTACCTCTCTACTCAAGAACCTAGTTGGAATGGCCGTAATATCCGTTTAGTTTTGGGTCCTTTGGGCAGAGAGGATACCCTTTCTGAAAAGGAGCACTACCATTATGAGTATTTTGACACACACCCGAATGCAGGAGCCCTCCCCCAAGAAAAAGAAAAGAGCACAGGGCTGTTTTCCATTGGCTGAAAGTGGGGTTTTACCACTCATTGCAGAGTGCGTTATCGTAGTGATTAAACACAAGAAACGGGCAACACGAACAACTAATAACCTCATGAGTGAGACGAACCTGTTTTTGCTTCAACATGAGCCGGGCCTTTGTGGCCCCTGGATTGACAGCAAAAGACAAACAAGTCATGCCCCTCAAGGCGGTTCGTCCTGGTTTACCTTTAAAAAAAACCGAAAAGGGGTCCGATTCCTGTGAGAACCGCCCATTTGTCAACTCAGGTCAAGCATCTCCGTATCTTGGCAGTACCTTAGAATTGCGGATGGGAACTGTCCAACGCAAAAACTGGAGCTCGCAGAGAGACTGCAGAAAAAAGTTGGCACCCTTATTCGAACCTCTCTACTCAAGAACCTAGCATCAGTCGCAGGAGTCTAGATGTGTCTTTTTGGGGGCAGGTTGAAACTTGTGACCACCTTTATGGTTTGGTGGGGGAGGAACCTGGAAGGACATGTTGCCTTCTTTTTGGGAGGGGGGAACACAGAGATCATTGTGGGAACCAGGGCTTTCGGGCCATTTTCCGCAAATCCCTTGCAAGGTGACGGGAGTAGTGATGAGCACCTACACCGGTATCACATTGCGGCCTGGGGCACGAGTCACTGGCTTATTTGGAACCCCTGTAGCTCTTGTTCCTATTATTTAGAACCCCCCTGGCTTATTTAGAACCCCTATTTAGAACCCCTATAGTCCCGTTTTGGGGGGGAGCTTTCGTTCCCTCCGAAAACCATGGGGAAAGTCTTTCGGTTTGGGCCGTCGAAGAAGGCGCTCCGTCAGCTTCCTTCCATTGGGACACGATCAGAGCTCTAAGTGAAGGTCAAGGGAGACATCCCACCCATGGCGGGCAACCGCCTTCTAGCCTGTTCTTTACATGGTTTTGGGTAGAGCCCTTTAGAACCCAAGTCTTGGTGAATCCCCTCCCCCGAATAAAAAGACCGTCCCCCTCCCCAAAATAAAAATAGGAATAAATACATGCAACACCTCGAAGGGGAGTTTTATTATTAGGGGTCGCCGGTTTTTGCCTTAGATATAGTTCATTGTTTGCTGTTTAGTATTGGGCTTATATTGGAAAGCGGCCCCCCTTTGACTTGATTAATAGGAAGAAGTGACTATTCTAGGGTTTGATTCCCCATTCTTTGCAAGCATCGTTCTTTTCAAAACCGGTCGCTGTTTTTGCAGGGTTTGGGTGAATTTGTAGAAAGATTCGGATCCCCGGCAAGAATGGGGAAGGTACCCTTAGAACTTTGGGTCGATACATGAACTTGATGGTTCTGGGGTTGACTCATTCCGTCCACATTTGGGGGAAGCACCCAGCCCATTTCATGGCACCCCTAGAACATCAGCCCATTTCATGGCGAGCTCACTGACTCCAGGAATACACAGCACCCACGACGACTGTCGTTTGGCACATCAGCCCATGCGAGCTCACTGATTCCGGGGGAAAGCCGCCCTCAAGAGGATTTTTTGGACCTGAGTAGTGGTTCCACCTAGGATTCTCAAAGTCTCACAGGAGATTTCTGGAGCAGCTGGCGCTGCTACTCTGCGTGCTGGCCATAGACTCCAACGGCACCAGCGCCAGCTGGCCGGGGAGCCCCGGTCTGGCCAGCCGCCCTGCAGTCCTTTTCTCGGGGTTCACTTCTAGGTTCCCCAATAGTGCCCTTTCTCACCCTTATTTGGTTGGGAGGGGTCCCCTACAATAGACTACAGAAAAAAGTGGGTACCCTTATTCTAACCTCTCTACTGGAGGATCTAGACTCAGTTCCAGCTTGGGAAAACAGCAAGACTGTGGATGGTTGCGAAATCCACTTCGCACCACCGTTCAGAAACCCTGAAATGATTCGACCGTGATTCGATTCCCCTGTAAATACCAATGAACAATGGTTTCAATCATGGTTTCCAAGTGGTGCAGGATTTCGTCCATCCACAGGATGGGTTGACTTGAATCCTCAAATGGGGGGTTGCCTTCTTGCAGGACCCTCGTTTTTGAAATGACTTGGCGTTTCAAGGTTCGATAGAGATTTTGACGGGCCCCTGGGTTCCCCTTTGGCTTTCCGACAACAATACAACAACACTATGGCCAGCGGCATTGCATGACAATCATGTGTGTAGCAACTTAGAACTCATTTGCTTGAAGCCGTTCAGCGCCTCACCCAATAAACAAACCAGCATCCTAACAACATTTCAAGACCCTCCCCCCCCACCCAACACCCCTCTCACCCCTCTCACCCCTCTCACCCCTCTCGCCCCTCTCACTCTCACCCTTTTACCCTCCTCTCGCCCCTCTCGCCCCTCTCACCCTTCTCACCCCTCTCACCCCTCTCTCGCCCCTCTCACCCTTCTCACCCCTCTCACCCCTCTCACCCCTCTCGCCCCTCTCACCCCTCTCACCCTTCTCACCCCTCTCACCCCTCTCACCCCTCTCGCCCCTCTCGCCCCTCTCACCCCTCTCACCCCTCTCACCCCTCTCACCCCTCTCACCCCTCTCACCCCTCTCACCCTCTCAACCCTCTCAACCCTCCCAACCCTCTTAACCCTCTCACCCCTCTCCTCGCCCTCTCCACTCTCACCCCTCTCACCCCTCTCACCCTCTCTCACCCCTCTCGCCCCTCTCACCCCTCTCACCCCTCTCACCCCTCTCACCCCTCTCTCACCCTCTCAACCCTACCCCTCTCACCCCTCTCACCCCTCTCACCCCTCTCACCCCTCTCACCCCTCTCACCCCTCTCACCCTCTCTCACCCCTCTCACACCCTCTCAACCCTCTCACCCCTTCCCAACCCTTAACCCTCACCCCTCTCACCCCTCTCAACCCTCTCACACCTCTCAACCCTCCCAACCCTCACCCTCTCTCCAACCCCCCTCACCACCTCCAAACCCCTCTCTCACCCACCTCTCACCCCTCTCACCCCTCTCACCCCTCTCACCCCTCTCACCCCTCTCACCCCTCTCACCCCTCTCACCCCTCTCACCCCTCTCACCCCTCTCACCCCTCTCACCCCTCTCACCCCTCTCAACCCTCCCAACCCTCTTAACCCTCTCACCCCTCTCACCCCTCTCAACCCTCTCACCCCTCTCAACCCTCCCAACCCTCTTAACCCTCTCACCCCTCTCAACCCTCTCACCCCTCTCAACCCTCAACCCTCCCCTCTCACCCCTCTCACCTCTCACCCCTCTCACCCCTCTCACCCCTCTCACCCCTCTCACCCCTCTCACCCCTCTCACCCCTCATCACCCTCTCACCCCTCTCACCCCTCTCACCCCCCCTCTCACCCCTCTCACCCCTCTCACCCCTCTCACCCCTCTCAACCCTCTCAACCCTCTCAACCCTCCCAACCCTCTTAACCCTCTCACCCCTCTCACTTGACAGAGGCGGTTGTGCATAAACACCTGTTTTCACATTTTGGGTCCAAACGGGCTTAAAACCCCGGACAACCCCCCGGACAAACCCCCGGACAACCCTCCGGACAGCTTTGAGGGCACAAAATCGGCGGGACAACTCCCCGGACAAACCCCGGACAACCCTCCGGACAGCTTTGAGGGCCCAAAAGCCCGGGACAAACCCCCGGACAAACCCCCGGACAACCCTCCGGACAGCTTCGAGGGCCCAAAAGCTCGGCACAAACCCCCGGACAAACCCCCGGACAACCCTCCGGACAGCTTTGAGGGCCCAAGAACCCGGGACAAACCCCCGGACAAGTCTTCGGACAGGTTTCAAACACGCCAAAACCACTCGGAAACCACTCGGACACCACTCGGAAACCACTCGGAAGCCACTCGGAAACCACTCGAAAACCGCTCGGAAACCACTCGGAGGAAAGTGTTCTCGCGGGAGGTGGGGTTTGCAGCATAAACCTCGGCAAAGCGCGCGGACAACCCTCCGGACAACCTTCCTGACAACCCCCCGGACAACTTGCCGGACAGTTGTTTGTCCAGCAGTTTGTCCCGCACTTTGTCCGGCACTTTGTCCCGAACTTTGTCCCGCACTCTGTCCCGCATATCGAGGGGGTGTTTATGCAGAAGGGCATTCGTCAACCTCTCACCCCTCTCACCCCTCTCACCCCTCTCACCCCTCTCACCCCTCTCACCCCTCTCACCCCTCTCACCCCTCTCACCCCTCTCACCCCTCTCACCCCTCTCACCCCTCTCACCCCTCTCACCCCTCTCACCCCTCTCACCCCTCTCACCCCTCTCACCCCTCACCCCTCACCCCTCTCACCCCTCTCTCACCCCTCTCACACCCCTCTCACCCCTCTCACCCCTCTCACTCTCACTCTCACACCCTCTCCCCTCAACCCTCTCCTCCCCTCCCAACCCTCTCACACCCCTCTCACCCCTCTCACCCCTCTCACCCCTCTCACTCTCCTCTCACCCCTCACCCCTCTCACCCCCCTCTCACCCCTCTCACCCCTCTCACCCCTCTCACCCCTCTCACCCTCTCAACCCTCCCCACCCCTCTCATCCCCCTCTCACCCCTCTCACCCCTCTCACCCCTCTCACCCCTCTCACCCCTCTACACCCCTCTCTCACCCTCTCCACCTCTCTCCCCCTCTCACCCCTCCCCTCCACCCCTCTCACCTCTCTCACCCTCTCATCACCCCCTCTCACCCCCTCCACCCCCTCTCACCCTCTCACCCCCTCACCCCTCTCAACCCTCTCACCCCAACCCTCTCACCCCCTCTCACACCTCTCACCCCTCTCAACCCTCTCAAAACCCTCCAACCCTCTCAACCCTCTCACCCCTCTCACCCCTCTCACCCCTCTCACCCCTCTCACCCCTCTCACCCCTCTCACCCCTCTCACCCCTCTCACCCCTCTCGCTCCTCTCGCCCCTCTCACCCCTCTCACCTCCCAACCCCGGTGAGGTTGGAGCTGGCGCTGATGGCGCCCAACGACGCGCAGCGAACCTTTTGGCCCACCATGCCAGACAGCGAGGAGCCATGAGCGACTTGATCTCCCCTTTTTGGGGCAGTCTCGTTCGTTTGTTGCCACGCTTCTTGGGCAAGCCTCCCCCCTGCTCCCCCACAGATCAACAGAAGGAATCTAAAAGTCCTTGGGGTCTTTTCCGCAAGAGGAGACTGCATTCCTGACAACACTTCTTTGTTCATGTTCGTTTCTGGGAGTGCATCTGTTCGCTGTATCTGTTCAAACTGTGTGTTCCCAGGTTCTTCATCATGTTGCCAAACTTTTATCCCAGGTCTCCTCGCCTTCACGTGTGTAGCATGTTGTTTGTCTAGGTCCACCAGTAGTGCCCTTTTACCCCTTTTTTGGGGGAGGGTTGCCTAGTAAAATAGACTACAGAAAAAAGTTGGTACCCTTATTCTTACAAAACTCGTCTTTGCTTGGACAATGTTGCTATGGCCATAGGAGGCGGCGGTTTTGGGCGCCATGGGCTTTGTGGGCTGGCACCGTGGCAAGTCGAGTCGGCCGACACGCGGACTGCGGCAGAAACTGACTTTTGTTCCTTCCCTTTCTTTCTTTCTTTCTTTCTTTCTTTCTTTCTTTCTTTCTTTCTTTCTTTCGTTCTTTCTTTCTTTCTTTCTTTCTTTCTTTCTTTCTTTCTTTCTTTTTGTCTTTCTTTCTTTCTTTCTTTCTTTCTTTCTTTCTTTCTTTCCTTCTTTCTTTCCTTCTTTCCTTCCTTCCTTCCTTCCTTCCTTCCTTCGTTCCTTCCTTTCTTCCTTCCTTTGTTTATTTTTTTTGGGGGGGGGGAGAATGCCTCTTCTGTTTCTTGCCTGATTTTCTTTTTGGTAGTAACTTTTCAGTTGTTTGGTCATTGTCAGTGGTGGGATGCAAAATGTGTTTTTGATAGCATACTCAGGTTTGGGAAGATACAGTTGAGGGATTGAAACATCACTGCTTTGGCAAATTGTTCAGGAAATTTTGGTCTCCTTTTGGTGATGATTGACAACTTGTTAGTTTCAGTCCCGCTTTGGGACGCCCAAACGCACCACTTTCCCAAACACAAAACTCCCTAACCCTCCCCCCCCCTTTGGAAAGCCCAACAGACGGTGTAAGGGGGGGGGGGGTTGGGTTGGGGGTCCTAGGAAAAGATTCTATGATAATGCGGTTGTTGGAAAACACTGGGTGAGCTGACCTAGAGCGTTGTTCTGCTGAAGCTCCCGTTGCGTTGCCCCTCACAGTTATCAGAACAAACACTGGACCACAACGTCATCTTCTGCTACCAGCCTATGGAGGCCTCGCCGTTCTGACTAGTACTGCGCCTTTTAATTTGTTCCAGCCGAGCGCACAAAAAGCTGACGTGCTTATCCATCGGGAGATTCCGCGCCCCATCCACACCACTCTGACGCGAAACGGTCTTGTGAAACCGGTTGCCAGTGGCAGGGTGTTACGCTGTCTCGAAGGGGAAAAAAAACAGAAAGCGGCTGGAGCTTCGGTCGATTTTTTTTCCAGACGCCGTTTTCGTTCAAGGAATTGGATGGTGTTTTTTTTGCTTCAAGCACCGCTGGGCGGTGGAGACCTCAGGTACACTTGCCGGAACGGGCACCCCTACTCCGTGGGCGAGTGCACGCGGCCAATGCAGCAGGGTGTCTGCCCGGTCGCCGGGTGCGGCGCTCGCATTGGCGGGGAGCATCACGTGAATGTGCGCCTCGACCCGGTGGGACTGGCGAATTCCGTGGGATCTGGAGAGAAGCGCGCAGGGTCCCTCTATGTTCCGTCTTGGTTTCAAGTATTCTAGGTCCTGTAGTGCTCCTTCTCTCCCCTTTTTTGGGGGAGGGTTCCGAACCCTACTAAAACAGACTACAGAAAAAAGGGTACCCTTATTCTAACCTCTCTACTCAAGAATCTGGTATTACTTTTGGGGCTCTGTTTTGGTGGGGTGATGTTTAAATGCGCTATGTTTGAAACCCTGAGCCTTTTTCAGGTGAGTTTGGTTAGGCATAGATGTCACTGGTTCAGATTGGTTTTATTCCATTAACCCGGGCCTTCTATTTTTGCAACAGGTCACCCATGCTCGGGGACCTGTTTCATTTTGTTTGTTTCATGCATGAATGCATGGATGGTTGGAAGGATGGACGGACGGATGGATGGACGGTTGAATGGATGGTTGAATGGATACCAGCAGAAGACCACTCTGCAGAAACCCTGATCTGGAGAGGAAGTTCCGGCCGTACGGAGAATTGTCGGGCATTCCGAATTCCGGGTGGTTTCTCGAACAACGAGCTGTGAAAAGAGTGGGTTAGAAGAGTGGGGTTAGACAAGTAGTTCTAGAGGCTTCAGCTGCGTTGGCTTCGAGCACACGAGGCAAGGCGTGAAGACTGTGAAGCAGGAGTCCCTCATCAAAAAGGCGACGCCGGGCTACATCGCCGCCACCAGCGATTTGATAGAACCTTGGCAGCACGAAGAAGAAGGTGTGGACCCATTCCATTTTCCTTGTGGGTTTTGGGTGCAGGTTTTCCAAAACAGTTGATTAGGGCGGACCCTGAAGCCGCTTTTGACTCAAGGTGCGCAGAAAAAGTGCACCGGACTGATAGCCAGATTCACAGGTTATGAGCCCAAGTCACGCGGTGTGACACTGGCGCCATGGATGGCACCGTCACAGGGAGGACCCGGAGAAGGACCACCCTGGAGAACAGCGGAAAGGGCAACGGAGGCCGAGAAGGCCCAGTGGTGGAGGAGGTGGAGGAACCTGCCCTGATAGCCAGGCCGGATGGGTTGATTGAGGCGGCAGCTTCGACCCAATGGCCTGGAGGGCCGCAGGGGGAGCCATCGTCGATTCAGCCTGGGCCGGCAGAGAACGAACTGTTCACTCCGGAGCAGATGAGGAGGTTGGAAGAGTGGACAGCCGAGGCTCCGCTCATTCACGCGACGGGAGCAGCAGCAGGCAACGGGGGCTTTGAGGGCTACATCCAGCGGTCCAACGAGGGCATGCAGGCGGAAAGGCAGTTGGTGCTGGCAGCACAACAGCTTGCTCTACCGGGACCAGCGGGAGATCCTGAAGGCCCACGGCCTGCTCAACGGCAAGAACTGGGGCCACAGTTGGTGCTTCTTGGACCTGGTGGACATCTTGAAGGTCCACGGCTTGCTCAATGGCAAGATCAGGGATCGTTGCAACAGCCGGGACTACCTGAACCAGGACGGCATGCTCAATGGCCAGATCCGATGCTGGAGATGCGCTATTACATGGCACAGATCCTGGCGGATAACCGGAGGCTACACCAGGAGGTGGGGCAATGTCTCAGCCAAGTCCAGGACATGCAGCAGAACTGGAAACCGCCGGAGGTGGAAGCCACTCGAGGAGGTGATCAGAGTGACAGGTTTGCCACGCCCGAGGAACATGGAACCCCTGATGGCCGTGGAGCTCGAGGTGAACCTGCTGATCCTGAGGAAGAATCCTCGGAGCTGCGTGAGGACGAGCCGACGGGCCCGAAGGACAAGTCATTGGACATCATGCTGAAGATTGTGCAGGGCATGCAGAACATGCAGCAGCAGATGTTGGACACCAAGAAGAAGGGGGACCACGGTGACGACGCAAGCGAGACGGTGAAGAATGTCACGGTGGATTTGCCGAAGCTTGTGGAGTATAAGCCCGAGAGTGCTCCCATCGACCTGGGAGACTGGATTTGCGTCCTGGAGCCGATCATGGCGGACCTGAGTGAATCGTCACAGCAATGGTGGCAGCAGGTGGTGGAATCGGCGAGGAAGTGGTACGGGAAGTATCAGACCACGCCGCCGCTGGAAAGACTCAAGCTGCAGCCGAAGGACCCTCCGGATCTTCAAGAACCAAAATGGCGGAGGTTGGAGAGGCGGGCTGTAGGGCTACTTCTTCGCGCCCTTCCTGATGGAGCTCGGGAGGAGATGGTGGCAACGAAGTCCATGACGTGCTACGCGATACTATGCAAGCTCATGGCGAGCTATCAGCCGGGAGGACTGGTGGAGAAATCGGTCATCCTGAAGAACCTGGAAAGTCCCCCGGAGGTGGACTCCCTGGCCTCGCTGGTGGTGGGGTTGAGGAAGTGGATGAGGTGGAAGCAAAGGGCACAGGAACTTGGGGTGACCATCCCGGACCCCACGGTACTGGCCCGCTCACTCAGCAAGATGGTGAAGAAAGTGGTGGAGATGCAGCCGGAGCTTTCGTTCAAGATGGCCCTGGCGAGGAATTCGCTCCAGTTGGACTCCATCCCCTCGCACGAGGCAGTGGAGAAGTATGCGGAGCACGTTTTGTCGGAGGTGGAAGCGATCGCCCACTTGGAGAAGGAGGTCAAGGCCCCCGCGGGGAAGACACAGGTCACGGACACCCGCATCAAGAAGGCAGAGGCCGTGGACTCCAAGAATGAGGTGAAGAACGCTGGAGAAGGTGGGAAACCCTGCAAGTTCTTTCTCACAGAAAAGGGCTGCAGGAGAGGACGTGGTTGCCGCTGGAGCCATGACCAGAAGGATGAACGCATGAGGTGCTGGTCATGCGGGGCTAGCGAGCACATGAGGAAGGACTGCCCTGTGGCGGTCAAGAACAACACGGACCGAAAGCCCAAGGCGGCGAAGGTTAGCGCGGAGGAGGAAGCAAAGAAGGAGGTCGTGACGGAGAGCCAGAAGGTCACAACTCCAAGGGCGACTTCCTCGGCGGCGATGCAGGAGGATTCACCGGGAACGGCGAGTTCGGCATCGGGCGATAAGGAGACAGACGCAATGAAGGACGTGCTCCAGGAGGCGACCAAAATGCTCAGGAGCATGAATGTCAAGACCGGCAAGAAGGGACCGGAAGACGATGAGAAGAAGTTGATGGACTTGCAGAAGCAGCTGGATGGCATGCGAGAAAAGATGCGGGTTCGACAGGTGAGGTTGTCAAAGATGGAGATCGGTGGGATGCGCGGGCTGGTGGATTCAGGAGCAACGCACCCGCTGAGACCCATGATGAAGGGCGAGGACACCTCGGACTATGAGGAGAAGACCGTGGAGCTGGCGGCTGGAGAGACTTACCGCCTGAAGGTCACCTTGGGAGGAACCCTGGTTGCGGAGGACGAACGGATACAGCCGATCATCCCCATGGGAATGCTCACGAAGGACTTGAATTGCCAGGTCAAATGGAGTGGGAAGACATGTGCGGTGGTGCATCCTGGACGAGGACGTCTACCGGTGGTGATGAGTCAAGGCTGCCCGGAGTTGCCGAGAGAGCTGGCCCTCAGCTTGATCCAGGAGCTTGAGGGGGTGAACCGCTACAGGGTCAAGGCGCTGTCGAAGCAGGATGAGGCGGACTTCATCAAAAAGGTGGTGGAGACGCACCCGGTGTTCGACGGTGTGCCGGAGGCGATCAAGGAGAAGTTGATGGTCAGGCCGGCGGAGGACTGGAAATCACTCGGATTGAATCGGAGCCGGAGGAGAAGGCTTGAGAGAAAGGGAGGTGCGGTTGTGCACTTGTTTGCAGGCCCGGAGGAGGGATTTGATCTGTCACGGGCTTACAAGGAGCAAGGAGGTGATCCAAGGGACATCTTGGAGTATGACATCCTCCGGGACGAAAGCCACGACCTCATGGATGACGAGCTCATGGGTGGCTTGGTGCGGCTGGCTTTGGATGATCGAATCAAGGCAGTGGTGGGGGGCCCGAATTGCAGGACGCGGTCAGTGCTGCGGTTCTTCCCATTGCTCAACCGGGCCAAACCGCGACCGGTGAGAACGATGGAACATCCCTGGGGACTGCCGGGAATGGATCAAGGAGAAGAAGCCATTGTGTACGAGGATGACGTGCTCATGTTTCGCTTCATCCTGGTCTACTTGTTGGCGGACCTCACGGCAAAGGCCAGAGAGGAACACGGGGGTGCGGTGGAGTTCTTCCTGGAGCAACCGGCAGAGCCACAAACGGAGCCGAGGTGTGCATCGTGGTGGCGGACGCCGGAGTGGGAAGCCCTGGAGAAGCTCCACGAGCTCAAGAAGGTGACGTTCTTGCAGGGTGACTGGGGTGGGCGAGCGGCGAAGCCTACGACGATCGGGACCACCATGGATTTCAGGGGCCCCGAGAAAGGCATCTGCAAACTACATCACGGAGGTCATCAAGGGCAAGAACAGGAGATGGACAAGCCAAGGTGGATGATGACGGATGAGGAGAAGCTCAGCTCCTCGAAGGCATTGGCACGATGGGCACCTGGGATGATGCGGGAGCTCGCAAGGTGCCTGCGACAGGAGGTGGACGGTGAGTCGAGGACGAAAGTGAAAGCGCTGTCGTGGGAGGAGCACGTGAGGTTGGGGCACCTGCCGTTTCGGCGGGACTGCCGAGTTTGTCAGGAAGCCTCAGCCAAGGACAGTCCGCATCGAAGGGTACGACATCCAGCTGGAAATGTACTTTCGGTGGATTTGAGTGGGCCGTTCATCAAGGGTATCGATGTGGACGGCGCCCAAGACCGAAGGTATCTGCTCGTGGCTGCGTTCACATGGCCGCAGATCCACACCGAAGAAGGTGAGGAGCTTCCTGCCGCAGAACCAGGTGAGGGAGAAGACCTACTACCGGTGGCGGAACAGGAAGACCAGGAGGAGCAGGAGGAAGAAGAAGGCTTCAACGTAGAAGGAGCCCGAGAAGAGGAGGAGCAGCCGGTGATTCCGGAAATCCAGAAGGAACCACATCCGTTGAAGACGTTGTACATGACGGTCCCGCTGAAATCCAAGGACAAGCGGGAGGTCTTAGCGGCGATCCAGGAGGTCTACATCAGATTGAGGAGAGAGGGCCACCTGGTGCTGAGACTGCATTCAGACAAAGGAGGCGAGTTCATGAGCAAGGAACTAGCAAACTGGTGTCGATTGAGAGACATCAGGAAGTCCACCCGGACACCGGACCAGATGCAGGAGAACGGTAGGGCAGAGGCCGCAGTTGGGGTCGTGAAATCCATGATCAGGAGGGTGCTCATTGCATCACGATGGGAACCAAAGTGGTGGCCCTGCATCGCCCGCTACGTCTCAGAGGTGCGCTTCAGGTTCGACCAGAACGGAGACCACCCGAAGTACCAGTTTGGAGAGGAGGTAGTGGTGCCAAAGAGAGCTTGGAAGCAGAAATCCTTCGAGGCAAAGAATCAGCGAGGCAAGTACCTGGCCCCGCTTTATGACATCACCCACGGTCATGCGGTGAAGTTGGACTGTGACAATAAGGTGGTGGCGGTGTCGAAGGTTCTCTCAGGCTTGCGAGAAGGGGAAGCCCCGAGAGCAGAAGGACAAGAGGAGGAAGAGAATCCTGATGGGGAAGCTCTATTCGATGAAGCTCTGCGTGTGAGAAGGCGACTGAGGATGAAGACGAGCGATCCGAGGAGGATGGACGATGGAGGAGGTGAACAAGTTGCGGAGCGGATTCGATTGTTGCGGAACCTCATTATGGAGGAGGAAGAAAGGATGTTGGAAGATGGAGAGGACGCAGCGGAGGTCACCTTCAAGATGGTGAGGAAGCTGAAGGAAGAAGAGGAGAACTTGAAGCAGACCGTGCCGGACCACAAGGAGGCAGAGAAGGTCTTGCACACAAAGATGGTCTCCACGAACGAGGTGATTGCGGACAAGGAAGCCTGGGCAACGTCGATCAAGATGGAGCTAGACTCGCTCATGACAGAGAAGAAGGCGTTGCGGCGGTTGGCTCCTGGGGAAGCCGCGAAGCTGATCAAGGAGAAGGGCAATAAGCTGACGGTGGTCCCGGGCAAGGCGATCTTCAGCGTGAAGGCGGGAAGTTCGCGGCGGAAAACCCGGTTGGTGGTGTGCGGAAACTATGTCACCCAGAATTCGGAGGCGGAAGGAGACACCTTTGCAGGTGGTACGGACATTACGGCGATCCGCTTGCAGGTGAAGGTCGCTATGGAAAGGAAATGGACGATGTCCGCATTGGACATCAAGTCTGCATTCCTCAATGCCGACCTTCATGGTGAGAAGGAGCCGGAGAACCTGGTGGCGATGCGACCGCCGGCGATCATGGTCAGAATGGGCTATGCAGAACCCGGAGAGCTATGGCTGATAGACAAGGCCATGTATGGGCTTCGCCAAAGCCCGAGAAGGTGGTCAGACCACCGAGACGCGGAGCTCGTGACGGTCCAGTGGGAGGTCAACGGCGCCTACTACAAGTTGGATCAGTGTGCTGCAGAACAGAATTTGTGGCGCATCCTGGAAATCCGAGGCGCGGAGGAGATCCTAGCGGGACTGGTCACCATCTACGTTGATGATGTCCTCACAGCGGCGGAGGAGGCCGTGCGAGAAAGGTTTGAGGCCATCATCGCGGAGAAATGGGAGACGAGTGTGCCGGAGGTGCTGAAGACCGGGAACCAGATCCGATTTCTGGGAATGAACTTGAAACAGGAGGAGGATGGAATTTTCCTACACCAGCAGGACTACGTGGAGGAACTGCTGACCCGGCACAAGGACGAGGTGAAGAAAGCAAAGGCGCCCATGTCCAAGGAAATGGCGGACGAAGCTGAGGAGACGGTCGGCAACCACACGATGACGGATCTCGCGAAGGCACAGAAGGTGACGGGCGAGATCTTATGGTTGATGACGAGAACACGGCCAGACCTCCTCTACAGCATGAGCCGACTATGCAGTATGGTGTCGAAGAACCCGAAATGGGTCGTCAGGGCAGCAGGCTACATCCTGGGCTACCTGGACTCAACGAAGGACTGGGGGCTGTGGGTTTCGGGAGAATCTGGATGGCATTGGAGCGGTCATGGAGCAGCAGGGCTTCAGGCATACGCTGATGCCTCCTTCGCCCCACTTGGGGAAAGAAGCCAAGGATGCTCCCTGGTGTCATGGAATGGCACGGTCATCGCGTGGAAAGCAGGGAAGCAAGCGTTTCCGGCCTTATCCACGGCGGAATGTGAGCTGATCGAAGCCATCGACAGCGTGATCCTTGGGGACAGTGTTGAGGCGCTGATCACCGACACCTTGGGGTTGGACGACTTCAAGAAGATGCTGCTGTCTGACAACGCGGCAGCTGTGGCGATTGCCACTGATGTGACGGGATCCTGGCGAACGCGGCATCTACGGCTTCGAGCGTTTCACCTTCGGTGGCGAATCAGAGCCGGAGATTGGGAGTTGCGCCATTGCCCTGGACAACAGATGTTGGCCGATCTTGGCACAAAGCCACTGGGTCCAGCGAGGATCAAGGAGCTGTGTGCCTTGTGGAATCTGAAGGTCATGCGAGAAGAGGCTGAACAAAGCAGGCTGAACAAGGCCGCGGTGGCGCCGCCAGAGGTGGACAAGTGGATCAAGCTGCTAGTGATCTTGATTATGATCACAGGATGCAAGGCGCAAGGAGGTCAACAGCCAGAGGAGGAGAAGGTTGACCTCGCGGTGGTGGTCCTGGTGATCGCGGTGGTGTCGATCGTGGTGTATCGCTTGGTTCACGAGGTGGCGTCGGACATCTGTCTGAAGGTGAGGAGATTGAGAGTGAGAGGTGTGGAGCAGTGCACCCAGACGGAGAGTGAGGATGAAGTCGTGGAGGTGCCGAGAACACAGAGCACTTCGGCGGCCAGGTCTTCCAGCTCGGGAAGCGGGAATCCCTCGAGGGCAAGTTCATTGAGGAGGCGCCGAGGGGGAGATGTTGATCGGGCAGAAGAGCCAGTGGCAGAGCAACCTCCGCCTAGTCCAGTGGAACCGGATGCGGAGGACGAACGCTTGAATGCACGCTGGCGGGAGGAGTTGCGGGTGATGGAGCAGCTTCGATGGCGGGAGCTGCAACCTGAGCCTGAAGCAGTCGAGGTATATCACCTGACCGGAATGGGTGACAAGATACACTGGCGCCGCAACTGTTACGGGTTGCGGAACGCAACAGTCCGTGGGATGCGGGCAGTTTTGCCTTGTTCCAGATGCTGGTTGGGAGGAGATCGGCAGCGAGCTCGTGGGGCCAGGTCCTGGAGAGGGGATGACGGCTTCTTGCACGGCACCATTCACTGCGCCGGCATTGGACAGGCACCACTTCGACCCTTGCAGCCGTGCAGATTCTGTCAGGGAGGAATCACACAGGACAACGAGGAGATGATGAGGGATGCGGGCAGATTCCCGCGTGGAAATCTATGAGCGGCTTGAGCTGAACGCGTTCTTCGGATGACGTGAGAGGCTCGCAAGGCAGCACAGACTGCCGACTTTTGTCATTTGAGTCCTCCCGGACACAAAGGGGAGGAGTGCAGGTTTTCCAAAACAGTTGATTAGGGCGGACCCTGAAGCCGCTTTTGACTCAAGGTGCGCAGAAAAAGTGCACCGGACTGATAGCCAGATTCACATTGGGAACCCCTTGCGGTCCGAAAACGGGGACATGGAGTCACAGGATTTACTTTGCCCATACAGAGAATTGCTTCAAACCCTGAGAACTTCTAGCGGTTGGGCTTTATTTTCAAGGCAAGAACCTCAGAATTGCAGGGCTTTGGTCGCTGCGAATCAGAACCCCTTGATTCAGGGCAGGCTCGGTTCTAATAGCGCTTTCTATGGCACACATCCAAGAGACACATTCCACAGAGCCGGCCACACTTGACGTAAGTCCAATCCTTTCTGACCAGATACCGAGCCAAGTTGCAAAAAGATCCAATGCGCAGAAAATCCAGAAGATCCCAGACCGCGAGCAGGTCAGTTTTAACATGCCAGGGTTAACATGTCCTTATACCCTGGGATTGGTAGGGATGGTCGTCCCCTTAGTTACATGAGACGAGGCGCGTTGCAGGCGTGCGCTGAATCCTTGTGCAATGCGACGGGGGGGTTCGGAGGTTCGGGAAGAGTCTTGTCCTGTTTGGATAGCCACAGGCCTGTTGGCAACTTCCAACAGCTCACTTCCCCAGTTTTAGGGATTCAGCAAACACGAGTGGCCAACACGAAGTCTTGGGTTTTGTCTGATCAATCCACTGAAATGGGTACATGCTTGGCTTGATCTTTGCTCTCGCGGAAGCTCGGCAGAGCTTGTGGAACAGCGTCCTGTCCGATCCCGTTGAGCGGCTGAAGTAGGTGCGGAACTGGTCGGGTACCACACGATGGAAACCATTCGGAAGCCTTTCGGCGGTCTCCGCAAAGTTTGGACTTGAGACGCGTTTAGCATTGGGCGAACGGTTTCCGCAATGGGCGAGTCTTGACGGGGATCTCTTTGAACTTGTTGGCATTGTAGGATGATGTATGGACTAGGATCAAGAATTCCAAGTCTTTGAGGTGTTGAGCCGAAGTTGATTGCCAGGACCAAACCATCCTGAACCAGTTCAACCGTCAGCTGAACATGCGCGGCCTGCAGTCTCTGCGCCTGCTGGTTCATGTGACTTTGTGGGCGTGGGGCCTTAGAGTTGCCACGTCCGATTTGTTGGGGTACAATGACTGGGGTCAGATTTTCGGCTGTTTCCAGGCTTCAAGGTCAGAAACTGGGGTGAGGTTCCTTTAACCTATCACTTATGGGTGACTTGGACTGACAAGATAGTGGGGCCAGACTGATGGTTATAGACCCAACCAAAAGAAGGCCGCAGCTGATCCCAAAAGCATGTCTTTGGGGTAAAGCCCTGTACCAGGTTTCCATTGTGCCCCACATGTTCCCGCTGGGCTCTGTCCAAAGCCGACCTTTGACCTTTGGATTTTTCCCACGATTCTCACAATTCCAAATTTTCGTCCCTGAAAGGTGATCGCGTGCTATTTCTGAGCTAAGCAGCTGAGCCTATGCTGACTGGGATGTTGTTCATCTATCCCCTGCTGTATCCCTTGTCCATGTTTGAACACTCTTTTGGCTTCACGGAGATCAAGCTGGTTTCCCTTTCCTTATCACGAATACCCACCTATGGGGGCCATGTTTACCCGACAGAAACCAGGTAATTAACAGAAGCAGTTCCCATTTGCCCTTGCCGCCACGGGATTGTGTACCCTTTTGCCAACCTCCAGGTAGTACTGTACGAAGCCCATTTTGCACCACGTTGAAACCATGTTTGAAACTTGAAACAATTGTTTGTTCGTATTGCGGGGGGTGAATCATCAGAAACCATGTTTTTTGTTCAGGTGTTAGGTGGTGCGAAATGGGGCGGTGGCTTGCTTGCGGGTGGGGGGCGACAAAAAGTCATTTTCCCAAATACACTACAAAACCCGGGGGGGTGATTGTCCAGGAAACTAGCCAACCCCGGCAAACAAGTGGAATCTGGGCTCTCCGTTTTCAGATCCCCTGCCAAAAGTTGTTAACTTTTAGTGCCCTAACACTCCCGATCTTTGGGCCCTCAAAATGGGTTGTTTTCAAGGGCCCGGAGTCCTGGTTCTTCATTGGAGGGCCCGGGGCCCTGCATTGGAGGGGTCATGAGCCTTAGGGGGGGTCAAGCTCTTAGCGGCACTCGCCGAGGCGAGCCTCAGCAGCGAGGGCGCCTCGAGGGTGGCGGAGGCGGCGCAGCCGGGGTGCCGCGGAGATGTGAGGAGCGGGGCCTTCCGAAGTGCCGGCGGTTTTTTTGGGGACCCTCCCAGGGACCCTCCAGGGACCCTAGATATTTGCAGGGACTCCATAAACCCTCCCTCCAAAGACCTTTCAGGGCGGGACTCCACTAACCCGGACTGTTCAGAGAACCTCCAGGGATTTTCCAGCGACTTTTCAGGGGAACTTTGCAGGGACCCTCCAGGTAAGGGACCCACAAGGGTGTTTCTCAAAGTTGGGGGCCCTCCAGGTGGCGTCCTTCTGCTTTTTGCAGTTTCCTTTTTCTTTTGGTTTTCATTTTTTCTTTTTCAATTGAGTGAGAAGGGGACTGTGTGGCTGCCTGCCTGCCTGCCTGCTTGTTTGGTGGGCGGTGCAGTGGCATCCAGCATGCATTCATTGATTAATTACTCATTCGCTCATACTTTCTGCATGGTGAGTGTCTTTATTTGCTGCTCTTTTTTGTAGGTTGTTTTTCGGCTTTGTGACCCTTGTTTGGAACCATGACAGTGCATCGGTGTCTTTGTGTGCTTTCTAACGAGGGGGCAGCCCCCCCCCCCAAACCTCCACCCTTCTTTACAGGGCCGTTTTTTGGCTTTGCAATCCTTGTCTGTATTTTCCACTAGTGTCCTTATTTGTTTTCTATTGCCGGGGAGGGTCTGCCCCGCTTCTTTCTAGGGCCGTTTTTTCGTCTTTGTGACGGTTGTGTGTGTGTGTGTGTGTGTGATGGTGCACTTCTCCATTAGCGTCTTCCTTTGTTTTCTATGGGGCGGGGCTGCGCCGCTTCTTCTTGCACTGGCCAGACAAAAGTTGCGCTTCTTGAAGGTCAGAGCCATTACAACTTGGAATCCTTCTGGAAGAGACCTACGGGGGTGTGCGCGGTCAATTTTGGACCCGGGAAGCCTTGTATTAGTATAATTTTACAACGCTTTGAAAATTGACCGTCCCACGCCTGCCGCACAAAACACACTCCAGTGCGTCAGGGCATCTGAGGGCCTTGCTGCACATGCGAAGTCCACCAAAAAATGGATGAAAGGGATTGTGTGCGTGTGTGTGTGTGAATAACTCAACACAGTGCGCTCTCTCTATTCACATGCCTGAGTCTGTGTCTGAGACTGCCCAACAGACATCAAACAAACAGCATCCGTGGTTCAGGGCTGGGCCTGCCTCCGTGTCAGGTGGCTCCTTTGGCCCTTCTGGCATTTCACGGGCGTGTCGGGGCAAAAACAGCCAAGAAGCAAAAACTGTTTGTGGGAGGGCAGTGCGCGTAACTTGCGCCCGTTCAACCTCTGCCGCTTTCAGGTCAAACGCGCAAGCGCAGAGAGTCTTGTCCTGAGAGTCTTGCCAGCGAGCGTTGCTGGCGGCCGCTGCCCTCCTGCAAGTTCAGCCAGGTGTCAACCGAGGCTCCCGACCAGATGCACTCCGAGAGGCCTTTGGCAAAGTGTTCCGGAAAGCCTCCAGGGCTCCTTAGACTCAGGGCTTGGAAGGTTTGCGGACAGAGCCCGAGGCTTCCGTCACTGAGAAGTAGTCCTGCTCACACCAGTCTTTCGAAGACTTCAAGTTCCCAGCAAAGACTGTCCCTGGCTGCACTGTTGCGTGTTCGTTTGATGTTGCACTTCCGCGAAATGCAGGCTGCGCTACCCAGACTTGTTCTTGACTGTCTGGGAGAAGGGGTGGGCCGACGAAATCCTCAACAGAGGATGGACGCAGGCTTCTTCTATGTCTTTGCCACGAAGATCGGCGCTGCCGCTGATGAAGCTGGACAGGAGTGCGTGGCTGGCAACTGCATGCCCGCGTGGCATGGGGGTGGGAGCGCTACCTACAAAGTCGAGGGAAAAAGCTCTGTGGCAACACTACGGGCTGGACGATGCAACCTGCGAGTTCCTTGTCCGGGACTTTGTTCAAGAAAGCGAAACTTGGAAGCGTGCAAGGCAGTGAGCAAAGCCAGGCTGAAGAAGCAGAGACTCATGAGGTGATCAAGCAGATCAAGGGTAGCCCTGCTTTGCACTAGCCGTGTCCTGCGGTGCCCGAGCGGTTGGAGAATTTCAAGCGTGACCTGCTGCGGTGCCCTTTGCTCTTTGTGTTTGGTGCGTCTGCCTCAGTGAAGACTGAGTACGCCGAGAGCCTCTACAAACAACCCCGTGAGCAGTGAGGCACGCATGATGCCGTCAATCTTCACGATGCGCGGGACTTAGAGTTCGCAGTAGCGCACCGGGAAGTTGCACCAAGAGAAGTTGCAGGGCAAATATGATGGCCGAATTGAGTTCGCAGCCACTCAGCTGCAGGAAGGGGCACACGCTACTTGTTTTCAACCCCTTCTGCACATGGTTTCTCCCAAATGGACCATAGACATGGCGACTCAGCCTTTGTGACCGAATCGCCCAAAAGGTATCTTTCGGAACATTTTTTTCCTGCTTGTTGTGGTTGAACATTGGTGAGTGGTTTGCAAAATTGTAGTGAGCCCCCATGTCCCTGCCACATGAATCAGAGACTGGTAAACTTGACCAAACATCATATCACTTGCTTGTTCTCAAAGAATGAGTTGGCATGACCCACTGAACCATTGAGTGGTTTCTCTTACGGAATCTCAAACAAATCATTCTCATCAAATGATCCTTCCTGAGAACCAGCAAGTGAATCCCCGACCGGTGGTTCCATTTAGCTCCTTTGTTTGGAGGGGGTTCTTATTCGGTTGACCCCGGATTGATCTGGGCAAGCTACAGCGATCCCTATCAACCACAGGACACTTGAGGGGGACGACTTAGATCAGCAGATCAAGGTCCTCAGCAACCTCTAAAACCAAAGCCCGCAGTTTGATGTTCCCACTTGGCCAGTTCTGTACGTCGACAACTTCTGTTTTTTTTGTTTTTTTTCTCGATCGCTCTCCGTCTTGCATTTAGGTCCCCCAGTAGTGCGCGTTTACCCTTTTTTGGGCAAGGGTTCCCCTACTAAAATAGACTACAGAAAAAGGGTACCCTTATTCTAACCTCTCTACTCAAGAACCTAGGAAAGTATCGAAAACCAACCCATGCTTGAAACCTACTGGAATTGGCTTGCTGCCTAGGGGCAG